ATTAAAAAAACAAACGGTTACATATGTTAGGTATTTTTATTTTTTTGTGATAATATTTTTATTTCTTAACTTAATCTTTTTATAATATATCATAGAGGTGCAAATGTTATGCTATTTTTGGAAAAATAAGTGAAAATATAGGTAAGAGCCAARAGGAAAAGAGCCTGCAGATTGATTGCATTGTAATAATGCAGTTCAATAACACTAGAGTTCGAATAGTTCGATGATATAATTCTGATTATATTGCAGGAAACATAATGAATTTGTATTTGATTGTTTATTATACATTTTATTTCCAACAATATTATTATCTAAGGTTGCAGTTACTAGATACTTTATAAACTTAATACTTAATTTAATTTAATTTTAAAACGTGTTGTGAATCTTGAATATTAAAATGAATTCGCTCATTTTTCAATAAAACTAAATCAATAGACAATAGCCTATATACTAAATGTATTGTAATTGAATTTTTTTCCTACTAGTAATCTAAGTAGTAATTATAGTAGGTACCTATCTATTGTTGTATAATCATTTAGATGAGCAAAATATAAAATACTTATATCAATATCTATATTGAATAATATTTTTAGATTTRTGAACATTTTATCTAGCCATTGATTAGTTAAAGTAGTTATTAAAATTAAAATTAAAGACCTGTCATATTATTTCTATTTATTTTTTTAACCCTTACTTACATTTAAAATTAATTTTTCACTCTTCAGTTATATAATATGATTCAAGTAAGAATAAATGACAATTTTATATTGGAAAGGGCATTATTAACTACAAAGCACAACTCACTAGCAACAGAAGTATATTTTAATTTATAACATCCTAAGCAGGTCTACAATACTACATATTATACGTATATCATGAACCTATAGTACCTACTTTATGTCTAGGTATATTAATCATTTAAGCTTTAGGTACTATAGAATTATTTAAAAATAATTAATAAATTTGAATATTTTTTTTTGTTTTAATGAGTTGGCTTAAAATTTAGGTACTTATAAAAGGTATCTTGGAGTGTTGGAAGCCGGTAAAAATATGACATTCTTCAAAACTGGTGTTCAACGTTCTACAAAAAATTTAAGTACTAGAATTTAATAAAAATCCCAATTTTTAAGAATTTTAAATTCTCAGTCAAATTCGATAGAAAAAATTTAAAATATGTTGCTTATAAATGAGGTCTGATTAAACATTAACAAAACTATGTAGCGATAATGAGTAGGTACAACTGAAACTTTTGAGTAAGTTTTTTGTTGTGAACATCAGATGAAGTTTATTAATAATTAAAAATATATTATTTATATTATTCCGATATTTTTAATCGTGAAATTGTATCCTCCTCGTATTGCATATAATAGTTTACATTTTACTTTATATTGATACGTATATATATATGTATAATACATCGATAATTAAATTAAATTTTTAAATAATTATCTGATATTTAAGRAGTGTTTAACTGTTTAAGTAAAATACCAATTAATTATTGAACTTATTATTTTTTGTCATGATAATAAACATTATGTAATGTTTTGGAAAATGTTAAATGATGAATCATATAATTTATTCATAGCTCATGGCATAACTTCCTATATCATAAACTCATAGGTACCTCATAGTTTTCATACACTGTAATTAAACAAAATTTAATTAAAAACTTCTTATATACACATTTTGTGTAGAACTGCACGTTATAGCATTATCTGCACTAATTGAATTGTATTTTATTTAGTAGATTTATAAATAGTAAGTAAATTATTGTTAAGAGTTTGCGATTTGCATACGTATAAAGATCAACTCGGTTAAACTTTAAAGTAAAAAACTTTACTTAGCTACAGCTGAGTATAAATATATTATTATGTAGGCTGCATGAATATATGTGCATATAAATCGTTTGATGCATGCTATATTCATGGGCGTCCCCAGACATTTTCCCAGAGGAAAGGGCAAAATTAACTTTAAAAATAAATGATGATATTTTTATACATTTAATGCTTACATTGTAAAAGTAATCGATGTTTACTAAGGTAGTGCTTTACAGATAATGCTTTAGAMAATAAATTTAAAATTCTGGGTGGTGGTGAGTGCTTCGTCTTGCCTATAGTATATAATAATATAATAGGTAATATTAAATATATATAATATATAATATATGTATTAATTATTAATATAAGTATCTACCTATACTACCCATATATAATATATATGATAGGTATAATAATTTTAAATGAATATTTCTATATATTTTTTTTATTTTTATACATTTATAATTGAAACCCTGCAGAAGCACACTACATCTTCCCCAATTTAAATGTACTGCTGAAATTAATGAACTAACCGCAATATTTGAATAAATACAAAGAAATGCCTATAAGATAAATAACATAGTGTAATTCTCAAAATTGTAGAACAACATTTTTTTATASAAATTTTAAGTTTACATATTAGTTAAATTTGTTTTAAAATAGTTAAGCGTAGTTTAAAACTGCGGTATAGTTACCTATCAAGGTAGGTTAATTGATAAATATTATAAGTAAATATAGTTCATTCCAGAGTGGCAGAGTCGTTGATTTGATTATAATTATCGCATTATTAGCATTAAAACTTCATGCATTAGTTTAGCCATTACCTACATTTTGAAACAAACAGAAAAGAGAAATTTCTTGACCAACTTTTAGATTCTGAGCGGAGCGATGTGTGTGTGTGTGTGTGTGTGTGTGTTTTTTGTGTATCTGTCATCACGTTTTGGGGCAGTAAAAATGCTTCGATTTTCGAATTCAGTACCTTATTGTTAGATCAAAAAGTGAATCTAGTTGGTACTTTGGAGGGTCAAAAGTAAAAAGTTCTCAGTATTTTTCTAAATAATCGGGATAAACAAACTAAAAATTAAGGAAAAACGGGAAATTTTACGAACAATCCGTTTCCGACAAAATCGATTTTGGTTTTTGATGTAACTTTAAAACAAATGACCATAGATAGATGAAATTTTCACCGAATGTTTATATATGTATATTCTATCAACCATACAATTTTCAAAAAATTTCGACTTAAGTTGATTTATTTATAGGCATATGCAATTTTCGATCATTATTAGTTTTTTTTAAATTAATATCGATCAAAATTTATTTGTTGGGTAGAAAAGCTTGAAAATTTAATATAAGGCTCCTGTTATGATTTTGCTTAATAATTTAAATGACGTACGCAAAGTAATTAAATAAAAATTAGGTTTTATTATTAACTACGACTTATGACGTAAAATACAATGTGCTAGTTTAGACGTAACATAAAGACTG